AGACCAAAGGGCGGCAGCTGGTGAGGGTCATTTTGCTGCGTCATAACACAGCAAAAGGTATCAAATGGTGACAGAGTAAGAGCGTGCATGTCAGCTCAGGACTCTCTTCCTCTATTGATAAAGCCACCAGTCGCATCATGGGAGCCCCACCCTGATGACATTATCTAACCCTAATTACTTCCCAAAGGTCCCACCTCCAATCAAATATGGATTTGGGGATTAAGTTTTCAACACATTAAATTTGGGGGACACATTCAAACTATAGCATAAATTTATCTGGCCAAATCCGAAATCCGACTTTTATGGTTTAATTTTACATATCCATATATATTGGGATTAGTGATATGCTTGGAGTTATTCTTACCAGATCATTCAGCATTTCTATTTAGCGTGCTTTTCCCCCTTCTTTTCCACCTTTCGTTGGATTAAGGTTTTTTGCATGTGTGTTCCATTTGATTATTATTGTTCTAATGGTGCGCAAGTGATACATTGTATTTCTATTATTCTATTAGTTATCTTTAAATGTGTAACTCACACCTTAAGTTATCTGTTAGTTTTCTGGTGTTGGTCTACATCCTATTCTCTTAAAAGAGAAAGGAGGATCTCAGCTCAATCTATTGCCTTTTGCTCCTCGCTCTTCTATCATCCCCCAATGTTAATATTATTCTGTATTTTACATCAATGAATTATATTTAAAGAATAATTCCTTCTTATTTAGAAGTAACAAGAAGGGTTATTGGTTAACTTGTTCATCATTTCCTCCAATAGTTCACTTCTATTGTTGAATTCATGTTTCCTTCATGTTTCTTCTCTCCCAAGTACCTCCCCTCATGTTATCTATCCTTAATATGTTTGGTTCATGTCTCTGTATGCAGCCAAAGTCCCATCACTGTCTCTTGTATAGATGCCCTCCTCTGGCTCAAAACCCTGCACTGGGCTGGCCCCTATGTGAACGTCCTCATCAGCCATCTTGGGCCCTGGCACGCCACCCCAGGCTGCCTCCATGGTGGACGATCTCCTCACCCTATCTGTGCTCCCACCTGACAGGTCTCCTCCCAGAGAGATGCTGTCCTCACTGCACTCAGGCTCTAAAAGCTCAGGTTGGGCTACTCAGATGTGTAGATGCCCCCTTTATTGATTCTCCACGTGGGACACATACACAAACACACATGTATTCAGGCTCTGACACTTATGCCAAGTAGCCCCTGCCTGCCTCCACATTCACTTGAGCTCCCATATCCCAAACGGCCCCCAGTATGAATGCCTGCCTTGCTCTGCTCCATATAATGGCTTTAGGACTGAATTATTCAAGAAGGAGAGGAAAGAGGAAGAGCTCAGAAAATATTAACTGCACCCCAGGGGTATTTTTTCACAAAATTTTGGTTTTAGTAACATATATGCAATATACATGTGTATTGTATTATGATGTAAAATATACATCTTACTGTGGGTCTCAGCCAAAAAAGTTTGAAAGCCACTGCCCTAGAAAGATTCTAGAATGATGGTACTATTGGTCTCTATTTAGTCCTCACTGTACTCTGGACTGCTGTCTCAGGAAATACCCTATTGTCTGTGTGAACACTCTATCAAAAAGAACATTGCTTTCACGGAAACAGATACAACTTGGTGGGCTACTGGGAGTCATGGACCTGGTAGCTCAGCCCCAACCACTTACTAGCTAAGCAATATATATCAAAATATATTAAATTATATATTATGTACATTAAAAATCATATATTAAAAAGCAGAGGATATGAGAATAATGCCTCCCAAGGCAGGCAGTATATGAAAAGTGCTTTGAAAACTACAATAAAGGGCCGGCCCGGTGGCACACTGCTACAGTGCGCCGCTTGGGAGTGCAGCGGCGCTCCCGCCGAGGGTTCGG